GATGAGGACAGAGGGCAAGGGATGGAATGCGAGAGGAAGTGACAGAGGGGTAAGGCGGCAAGGTTGAGAGAAGGGTGAAAGTGGGCGAGGGTGGGGTCAAGGGCAGGAGTGAGAGAGGGTGAGGGTGAGAGGCGAGGGTGACAGACTGCGGGCGAGGGGGTGGTCGGGGAGGAGGCAGGGCGAGGGTTGGGACGAGGGCGGCGGGCGAGAGGGTTGAGAGGGTGAAGAGGGCGAGAGGAGGCATAAGCGGCAGGTGGGGTGACAACGGTGGTGAGGACAATGAAGGCTAGAGAGGTAGAGGGCTGCAGACAGTGAGACAGGCAGGAGCGAGAGAGGATGCGGAAGGGCGAAGATGAGTAAGGGCAAGAGAAGACGAGGGAGGGCAAGGGGTGGCAAGTGAAACGGGGTCGATTGTGGTGGGGCATCAGCGAGGGCAGCAGGGTGTGGGTGAGGATGGTGATTAGGGTCAAATGTGACAAGGATGAGGTAGGGCGAGGGAGGGACAGGTACAGTGAAGCAGGGTGAGGGAGATGCAGGGCAAGGCAGAGGCAGGCGTGGGAGGGTGAGGGAAAGGGAGGGCGAGGGATGGAAAGGGAGGCCGAGGGAAAGAGAGGGAGGCCAAGGGATGGAGAGGGAGGCCGAAGGATGGAGAGAGAGGCTGAGGGATGGAGAAGGAGGACAGGTGAGACAGAGCAAGGGTAGGTGAAGGGGAGCTAGGGCAGGCGAGGGAGAGCGAGGGCAGGCGAAGAAGGGCGAGGGAGCACAAGGGCCAGCGAGAGGGAGCGCCAAGGAGAGGGAGAGAGAGGGTAGGGAAGGCGAAGGCGGGACCAAGCAAGTGAGGGCAAGGGCAGGAGCGAAAGAGGCGAGAGGGCATATGGGGACGAGGGCTACAGGGGACAAGGGCAAGAGTGGGCAGTAGCAGGCAAGGGTGAGGCAGGGCAAGAGTAGGCGAGGGCGAAGGCGGGAGAGGGAGAGGGCCGGTGAGTGCGAGGACGTGGGCAGGTCAGGGTGAGAGAAGGCGAGGACAACAGAAGGTGAGGGCAAGTGCGAGAGAAGGCGAAGGTGAGAGAAGGCGACGGAGGGTGAGGGCGGAACCAAGCAAGAGAGGGCAAGGGCAGGAGCGACAGAGGCAAGAGAGGACAACCAGGGCAAGGGCTAGAGGGGGCAAGGGTGTAGCGGGCGAGGGCGAGACAGGGCATGAGTAGGCATGGGTGAAGGCAGGAGAGGGTTGGTGAGTGAGAGGGAGGAGAAGGATGAGGGCAGGTCAGGGTGAGGGAGAGCGAGAAGGGCTGAGAGAAGGCAAGGGTGAGAGAAAGCAAAGGCGAGAGAAGGCGAGGGATGGAGAGGGTGAGAGCGGGAGAGGGCGAGGGCGGGAAAGGGCGAGGGAGGGAGACAGAGAGCGAGAGAGAAGGAGCATACTGGCGAGGGAGCATGAGGGTGAGGGAGGGTGAGGGAGTGCGAAGGTGGGCGAGGACGGGGCAATGGAGGGTGGATGCGAGGGCGAGAGAGGGCATGGGAGCGGGAGGTTGATGGAGAGGGAAGGATGAGTGGGGCAAGAGAGGCCGAGTTCAAGATAGGGCAAGGTCGAGAGAAGGCGGGGGCGAGAGCGAGAGAAGGCGAGGGTGAGGGCGAGAGATGGCGAGGGAGGGCGACAGCGTAGGAGGGAGAGAGCAGGTGAGGGAGCGAGAGAGGTCTGGGGAGCAAGAGAGGGCGGGGGCAGGTGTGAGCCATAGCAGGTGAGGGTTGGGAGTGAGTGAGGGAGGGAGAGGGCGATTGAGGGAGGGCAAGGGCGGAAGTGACCAAAGGTGAGAGAGGGCGAGGACCGGTGGCGGTGAGCATGGGCGAGGACATGGCTGGGTGAGAGAAAGGGAGGCCGAGGAATGGAGAGCAAGGGCAGTAGAGAGACGCGAAGGTAGGCGAGGGAGGGCGAGGGAATGTGAGGGTCAGGGCCGGGAAGGGCCAGAGTGAGGGAGGGCCAGGGCGAAGGAGGGCCAGGGCAAGGTACAGCAAAGCTGGGCAAGGGAGAGGGAGGACGAGGGATGGTGAGGGCGAGGGAGGGTGAGGGAGAGAGCAAGGTCAGCAAGAGAGACAGAGAGCGCAAAGTGGGGAAGAGTGTGACGAGGGAGAGGGTGAGAGCAACGAGGAGAAGTGGTTGCTGTACAAACTGTTTTACAACTACAACAGTATCAACTTAGATTACACACATCACTGTCACCGACATAATGCCTGATAAACAGGTCATCAGACTGAAGAGTGACATTGGAAAGTTAGTATTGGGAATGTTCTCATTGGTCAATGGCTTTTCTTCATAGAAGAATTCTTAGAATCCCTACAGTGTGGAAACAGGCCCTTCAGCCCAACAAGTCCACACCGACCCTCAGAGCATCCCACCCAGACCTATTACCCTATAACCCACCTAATCTACACATGCCTGATACATTATGGGCAATTTAGTATGTCCAATCCACCTAGCCTACACATCTTTGGACCGTGGGAGGAAAGCGGAGCACCTAGGGGAAACCCACGCAAACATGGGGAGAATGTGCAAACTCCACACAGACAGTTGCCCGAGGGTGGAATCGAACCTTTCCTGCCTAAATGTTCTTTGACATACAGACACTGCACATGCTGCCTAATTATAATTATAAAATCAATAGCAATGATCCAATGGCTCCACATATGAGCTAATAGGTTCTGAACGGAAAAACAAGGATAAATTTATCTAATTTAAACTCATGTTCAAATGCCAAAGGCACATTAATTTACCACAAGTTACATGAGTAACACAGGTAAGCAATCTTTTAACTTGCTATGATGGAATGTTACTGATCCAGAAGCATTTATTGGGAGGTCACTTTAAACACAATACTGTGATCCAATGACTGCCATAGTGGATGAATTTTCAATTGCCAGCCAATTGCTGCCAATTTTCATAAGAATGGCTGATAGGACAAGATGCTGAAGGGACGCTGGGGAAATAAGCACCACTGCAAGTAAAATTTTACTATCAGTTTTAACATGTATTAGTCATGTTCTCTCAATTTATGACTGATCATTTAATGAGTCCCATTATTCTTGGAAATACTTTCCAATTCCATTTAGAATCATATAGGAACCCTTCTGATGCGATTAGACAAAGCAAGTAATAACACTAATTTTGGATGCATTTATGCATATAATTGTATGCAACACCAGTGACACAATCCATCACTAAGATAAACAGTTTTCATTTATACTAACTGCTCATCAGTGCACCACTGCAGCATTACAATATCTAAAGACAAGAACAGATGGTGACAGGTTTTATCACTAGCCAATGTTCAGTTAGCCTGAATGCTGGACTGCAATTAGTCTTAGTCCTCCAAGACACAGAAGGAAAAAACTAAGAATGAGGATCAATCACCAGCACTGGGTTTCTTCCATAGAGGACAGATGACACTATGAGGCTTAGTAATGATATGGTCAAATTGCTTAGTGACACTCCTTTGCCTTTGTTAGTTATTTTCTCATGGGATGTAGGTACTACTGGCAACTAGTTCCCTCTCTAAGTAAGGATGGCGGATTTCCTTCCCTAAAGGATATTGGTGAACCAGATGAGTTTAAAGCAAGACTAGTAAGAAAGGAACACTTTTGGTTATAACCTTTTATGATAATGATTAATGTACATCTCAGGCAGCTATCTTCAAAGCACCAGCTAGTGTAATACTGGCACTTTTTAATTGATACAGAAACATGGGAAGCACAACAATCAATTGCAGTGGAAAAACAATGTAGTAAATGTCTCCAGCCTTTGCTGACCTATTTCGTTGACCGAGAGTCTAACCCACCCTCTGCTGACCCTTTCTCCCGCCTCCAACAAACCCCATCCTCTTCAAACAAATGCCTTCAACCGCATATCTTGCATTTCCTGCACTTCTACTCTCAATACTCATCCCGCCAACAAAAATAAGGATGGAGTCCCCCTGATCCTCACATACCACCCCGCCAGCCTTCGCATCCAGCGCATCATCTTCCACCACCTGCAATCTGACCCCATGACTAAAGAGGTATTTCCCTCTCCACCCCATCTGCCTTTTGTAGGGACCGCTCACTCCGCAACTCTCTTGTCTGCTCTACACACCCCACCAACCTCACCACACCCGCACCTTTCCCTGCAACCGCAGAAAGTGTTACACCTGCTTCTACACCTCCCCTCTTGCCTCCAGTCAAGGCCCAAGACAAACTTTTGAAATCCGACAGGAGTTCACCTGTACATCCTCCAACCTGGGGTCTACTGTATCTGTTGCTCCCAATGTGGCCTCCTCTAAATCGGTGAGACCAAGCGCAGACTTGATGACCAATTCGCGGAGCATCTGCACTCTGTACACTATAATCAACAACATCCTCTGGTTGCCAACCATTTTAACTCCTCCCCCAATCCCTTGGTGACATGTCCATCCTGGGCCTTCTCCCACTGCCACAATGATGCCACATGCAAACTGGAGGAACAACACCTCTTGGGAGCCTACAGACTGACGGCCTGAACAAAATTCACCATTTTCAAAATCTCCCCACCCCCTGCCTTATCCCATGTCCAACCATCCTTCTCATCTCTGCCTCCTTGACCTGATACAACCTGTCCATCTTGTTTTCCACCTATCCGTTCCACACTTCCCACTGACCAATCGCCACTACCCCCTACCTGCATCCACCTATCACCATCCCACCTACCTTCCCCCAGCCTGACTCCTCCTGGCTTTATTTATTTCCCAGCTCCCTTCCCCCTCCCCAGTCCTGATGAAGGCTCCCCGACCCAAAACATTGACTTTCCTGCTTTTCTGATTCCACCTGACCTGCTGTATTCCTCCAGCTCCACACTGTATTCACAAAGACATTAATGATCATTTTTAATCTACAAAATAACAATTCAATATTATATATTATTGACAATCAATAACTCTGCTGTAAAATAGCTTCTTGCTTTACATCTCTTGACTAAATCAATAAATAGCTTTACTGACCTGACTGAGATTCCACTGCATTTTCTGGCTTTGTTGCACATTGTATGAATTTCCCACCCTTCCTGCTTGGGGAGCCATCATATTCTCCGGAACTCTGACAGCACTGGTTTGTGTATTACCCATAAATCCATTTGCCATTCCAATGCCAACCACCATCCCTGCCGGCTGGCCCACCATTCCTGCCGATTGTCCCATCATCCCCGTGGGAGCTGGCATAGGTGCTCCAAGGTTAGGAAAATTTGGATAGCTAGCTGCAGGGTGAGAGGCATACGACAACGAAGAAGGTGCCATGTACACAGCAGCTGGAAATAACAATGCAGTGAAAATATAAAGTTATATCAGGGCACTCTTCATAAAATGCAAATCAACTGAAACAGGCTACAAAAACTCAACAAATAAATTGTATAAGAAGTTTAAATAACATGCTCTCTGCCTTCTGATGTATTTTGGCTGCACTGTGTACAATTTTTAGGTTGCATATTGTAGAAGTCTCAAGGAGATAAACACAGTAGATGCAGATGTGGTGTACTTCAGATGGTGTAGTGGGTAACATGTAAACTTGGTTAGCTAACAAGAAGTACAGTCGGGATAAATGGGTGATTTTCAGGTTGGCAAGCTGTACCTTGCCCAATGTCACAGGGATCAATACTGCTATTTACATCTGTATCAATGTCTTGCATAAAGAGGCTGAATGCCTAGGAGCTAAAACTGCAGATGCACAAAGATAGGTGAGCAATTAACTTGTCAAGGGGACAAAATCTACAGACGTATTTAGATAGGTTAATTGGCAGACAAAAATTTGGGCATAGTGTGGGAACACGTGAACTTGGTCACTTTGGCAGGAAGAATAGAAAACTAGAACATTATTTGAATAGAAAGAAACAGCAGAATAGATACAGAGGGTTATGGGAGCCAGACTGGAAATTGGGATTGAGACCACAATGAGATCACCCAGTGTCTTCAATGGCAGAGCAGGTGCCAAGGGGGCATATAGCCTACAGTGTTTCTAGACATCGTGCTCATGGCAGCTTTCATGGAAAAATGGACAGAGAATATAAACAGCTGAAGATCCCAGAATCACATGCAACAATAATAATACAACTTAAGTCAAACGGTTGCCCCATTTACTTACAGTAACATAATTACAGGTAGTTCTGCTATAACGTGTGTTGCGTAAATGCAAATTGGCTGTAATGCGATTGATGAATAGTGGACGCTGTTTGGCTAATGTGAACTTTCTGCTGTACAGGTATAGCAATTTTCAATGCCGATTTCCCTATGACATGATTTTATGTACTGTTACTTTCTATAGCATGAGGTCACACAAAAACGCATCTAGGGCGTTATAGGAAAACTGCTTGTACACTGTTTAAACAAAATTGTTGTGGCAGGTAGAATAAAACAACGACTGCATTAGAGTGGAGCAAGTCACCTCATTTTGGTTTATTGCAGATTTTGGCAGTCCAATTCATGTGGTCAGGCCATTTCTGATTGGTTATCTCAAAAGCCAGCCATCATATTTCTTGGATCCTCAACCCAACCACTACTAAATTAAGCTTTTCGTAAAAAAAGCTGTATCCTTTCTAAGGAAACTTGATGCAGCACGGCACTGAGGCACTAACTAACATCAGCAAGCATAATTGTTACAAAAAACATTTAGAATGTAGCAGTTGAAGTAGAAATATACACTAGCATGACATTTTGGTGGAGACATGTTTGTTATAGAACTCCTACAGTGTGGAAACAGGCCCTTTGACTCTCTGGGCATCCCACCCAGACCCATCCCCCCTATAACCCACCTAATCTACACATCCCTGAACACTATGGGCAATTTAGCATGGCCAATCCACCTAGCCTGCACATCTTTGGACTGTGGGAGGAAACTGGAGCATCCGGAGGAAACCCACGCAGACACAGGGAGAATGTGCAAACTCCACACAGTCACCTGAGGGTGGAATTGAACCCAGGTCACTGGCGCTGTGTGGCAGCAGTGCTAACCACTGAGCCACTGTGCCGCCCCAAATACAACAATATTTGGCATATATCATGTTCTCAATGCAATGGACATGAATAGATTAACAATCATGGTTGGCTACACAATTACTCCTACCAAACTGTATCAATGTTAATGAGGTTGGCAATGTAAGTTCAATGGCACAATTTTTAAAAAAAAAGGACAGGGGGTGTAAGAAAAGAGAAACCTAAAAATCTTTGAATGTGTTTTGAAAGCAGTTAATAAAATGTGGAATCCTGCAATAAAAACAAAAGGTTTTGGAAAAACTGACAAGTCAGGCAGCAACTGTTAACAGAAAAGCAAAGTTAAAAGTCAAGTCCAATCTGACTCTTCTTTGGCATTGGACAGGGGTGGAAATGGGTTTTATGCTTTTGACAAAGGGAGAATGGGCAAGGAACCCATGGGGAAGGCTAGTGGGCAGCAGAGAATAGAAATCAATGATGTCATTATAACCAAAGGCAAAGCAAGTGGTAATGGCTTTAGAAAATGAACAAAGCCAGAATTGGTGTAAACAGCAGAATAAACGTCAGCTCTGACTGAAAATAAGATGTGGACACTGGGGGGACTCTCACCTGGTCCATGAGACCAAGCTTGAAGTCCGCTGCTTCCGATGTGGCCTCCTCTACATTGGTGAGACCGAGCATAGACTCTGCTGCTCCCGATGTGGCCTCCTCTATATCGGTGAGACCAAGTGGAGACTCGGAGACCGCTTTATAGAGCATCTGTGCTCTGTACGCGACAAACGACAACACCTTCCAGTTGCCAACCATTTTGACAATCCCTCCCATTCCCTGGGTGACATGTCCATTCTGGGCCTCCTCCAGTATCACAATGACACCACCTGCAAACTGGAGGAACAGCACCTCATATTCCACCTTGGGAACCTACAGCCCGATGCCTAAACATGGAATTCACCAGCTTTAAAATCTCCCCACCCCCGGCCTCATCTCACGTCCAACCCTCCTTCTCATCCCCACCTCCTCGACCTGACACAACCTATCCATCTTCTCTCCCACCTATCCGCCCCTCCAACCCCACCGACCAATCCCCTCCACTCCATACCTGCACTCACTTATCACCATCCCACCTACCCTGCTTCCTGGAAGGAATCCATTTCATTCTCTCAGTTTCTCCAATGCATCTAATGATTCCATTTTCTGCAACTGTGCTTCCGATATTTTTTTTTTCTCAAATGACGATTTCCCATCATTGTGATGGACAGTGCCCTAACTGTCTATAATTAATTTCCTGCAATTCTGCGCCTCAAACTATTGCCTGCCCTCTCAGAACCATGATAGTGTTCTCCAGGTCCTCACTTCCCAGCCCATCAGGCTCCATATTTAAAAGATCATCCTCCACATTTTCTGCTGCTCCAGCATTATACCATTGCTGAGCACATCTTCGTCTCCTCAAGGAGATGTAAGACTTGTGCTTTCACTTCTCACTGTCCAAGACACCAAACACTCCTTTCAGGTGGAGCAGCAATTTCCTTGTATTTCTTTCAATCTAATCTATTATATTTGCTGCAGTCTCCTTTACACTGGGAAGACCAAACGCAGACAGGGTGATCATGGGATGGAACACAGGTAAAACCCACTACAACCATAATTGCTCCTTTTGTGCCATGACATCTTTGATCTCAAATCTCCTTTGCCTCTAACCTCTTTCAGCAGAATAAAACCTATCACTTTTGTTCTAAAGGGAAGTCAAAACAAACTTGAAATGTTTACTATTTCTCCCTCCACAGATACTGGCAAACCTGCTGAGTTCTTTCAGCACCTTATTTTTATTTAAGATCTCCAGCACCAACAGTACTTTTATTACTATGGGGTCTTGTGCTTTATAAACTGAAACAAGAGATAAAATTCAGGAGGTTATACTAAACCTATATAAAATATTAATTTGTCTGGACTGCTCTTTGAAGGAGTCTCAGTTGGTCACATAGTTCTTTTTGTGCTGTACTTTTCAAGAATATGCAATCTGTACTTGAACCCATGAATAGTGATCAGAAATCAAAACAGTCAAGATAACAGGGATAACAAGGTGTAGAGCTGGATGAACACAGCAGGCCAAGCAGCATCAGAGGAGCAGGAAGGCTCTACACCTTTTTATCTCAGATTCTCCAGCATCTGCAGTTCCTGCTAACTCTGAATCAAGATAACAGGCTCATTTACAAAATGTATTTTCACATCAGGAAAATAAAGTTCATTCTTGGGGTTTGTAGGCAGCACGATAAGGCAAATTACCTGAAAGAGAAGTGAAAAGGGTTGTGGAGATAGTTGTATTATCAATAGCCACAGGTGAGCTGCTGAAAGACTGGAGGTTGGCTAATGTGGTGCAATGATTTAAGAAAGCTGGTAAGGAAAAGCCAGGCAACTGTAGACCAGTGAGCCTGACATTAGTGGTGGGCAAGTTGTTGGAGGGGATCTGAGGGAGAGGATTTACATGTATTTGGAAAGGCAAAGACTGGTTAGGGATTGTTAACAGGGCTTTTTGCGTGGGAAATCGTGTCTTATGACTTTTTTGAAGAAATGATGAAGATAGATGTGATCTGTATGGACTTCAGTAAGGATTCGACAAGGTTCCGCATGATAGACTGGTTAGCAAGGTTAGATCACATGGAATACAGAGGGAACTAGCCATTTGGATACAGAACTGGCTCAAAGGTAGAAGACCAAGGGTGCTGGTGGAGAGTTGCTTTTCAGACTGGAGGCCTGTGAGCAGCAGTGTGTCGTAAGTATTGGTGCTGGGTCCACTGCTTTTTGTTATTTATATAAATGATTTGAATGTGAACATAGAAGGTATGGTTAGTAAGTTTGCAGATGACACCAAAATTGATGGTGTAGTGAACAGTCAAGAAGGTTACCTCAAAGAACAACGGGACCTTGAATAAATCGGCCAATGGGTCAACGAGTGGCAGATGGAATTTAATTTAGAGAAAGGTGAGGTGCTGCATTTTGGGAAGGCAAATCAGGGCAGGACTTATACACTTAATGGGATGGTGATACGTGAGTGCAGGTAGGGAGTGATGGGAATTGGTTAGTGAGGTGGGAGGGGCTGATAGGTAGGAGAGAAGATGGACAGGTTTGTCAGGTCAAGGAGGTGGGATGACAGGGAGGGTTGGACATGGGATGAGGTTAGGGGAGGGTGGCATGGTGGCTCAGTGGTTAGCACTGCTGCCTCACAGCACCAGGGACCCAGGTTCAATTCCACCTTCGGGCAACTGTCTGTGTGGAGTTTGCACATTCTCCCCATGTCTGCATGGGTTTGCTCCAGTTTCCTCCCACA